TTAGAAGTCATTAAAACATTGAATTAAACTCAAATTAGAATCGTTAAGCTTACACATTCTTTCCCGCCATAAATCTTTGAATATTGCACTATCCTATGCACTTTGGACGACTTTTTGTTGTAAACATATTAAAAATTGTTGCTAATAAAAAAACAGACTCTAAAACTGTAGTTCAAATTAATCCAACAACCATGTGGAAGACAACCGGAGTTACACAGTACAACGTGTCAGCAGTATTACGATGTGATAAAATACTATTTTGTAAGCTACAAAATGGTACAATTAGGGATTGTGGATAAGGTGCGGAATATTTGAAATCCGGGTGGGGCTTGAAAGATTTTGGACAAACAAATGTCCATACCAATCCAAGTAGAAAAAATAGAACGTAATATTCATTTTAGGAAGCATAGGTATTAATGTAAAAAAATTGATACAAGATTTATACGAGAAAAAATTACAAACTTTTTATTTTCCAAGCCCCCCCCCCCAAGATCTCAAATGGTTCACCCCTAAAGACCGACTCAGACAGCTTCGCCCGACGTTCACCGACGAATACGGATGTCGCGTCGCTTCAGTGTGAGTTGTCGCAAAACAAGACGACCCGTGTTTAATATTTTAGACAAGACGTTCGTCCCCGCGTTCGTCGGCGACAGTAGTGTAAGATGAAGGGGGTAAGGGTTATTTTCGTTCAACGTAATTGCAATATTTTTTTGTTCGTACAACGTAAGTTGAAAAAATAAATTCCGTAATTCTGTAATCACAGGCTAGACGTACAATGTAATCGATCAAATATTTTTTTCGTACACTGTAAAAATGTTTCATTTTTTTCGGTACGTACAAGAATTTTCTAGGTTTTTTTTTCTTAATTTTCCGTAAAATGTAAAATAACCTTTATTTTCTCTGTAAACTGTAAACATTCAATTTTCACTGTAAACTGTAAAAACGTCTTTTTTTCCTTGTAAATTGTAAAAAAAACCTATTTATTTCCCGTAAAACTGTACCAGCTACCCCCTTTGCCGCCCCTCTAAAATGGCGGTCTCAGAAGATTTTCCTGTGGTGTCGAGCAAGGCTGTCTGAGTTCGGCTTAAATGACCATCGCTTTCGATGACGAGGACGACCCGGGATCGTGACCGCTGTTATTAAAAAAATCGTGAAAAAGATTAAATATTGAGAATTTTTTTTATTGATCGACAACCTGTAACCTGACCTGCAACCTGATCTGTAACCTTTAACCTGCGTTTTGTTGCTGCCGAGATCGATACTGTTATAACATCATATTTTCCTACCTGGGAAAAGCATCATGAATGATTGCAATGATTGAATTGTAGCCGTCTTGCCAGTGCTCTCACCAAAATAGTCCAATAATACCACCAGGAAAACCCCCATGCTAACCACTGATCCCATGATTAACATTAAGGTTAAATGACTCGCACCAACAACAAGCCAACCATACCACTCTCCATCGACTTTACATAAACGCTTCATTCCGGGGCGTATATACGGCAAGTAGAGCAGTATGTCAGTAAAGGTTCGGGGTAATGGTCTGCCC